TTTACAAAAACCAACTTTTCATTTTGGTGATTTTTTTTGTATTTGTTTGTTTCAATTTAATTTATATCTGCACTAATATTTATTATTTCTTTTCTTCTACTAATTTTGGGTTTGGTTTGCACTTGTTTTTCTAGTTCTTTGAGATGCACTTTTAGGTTGTTTATTTGAAGCTTTTCTACTTTGTTGATGTCAGTACTGACTGATATAAACTCTCCTCTTCTTGCTTTTACTGTATGTTGTGTTTTCATTTGTCTCAAGAAAATTTTAAATTTCCTTCTTAATCTCTTCATGGACCCACTGATCACTCAGAAGCATATTGGTTAGTTTTCATATGTCTATATGTTTTCTAATGTTCTTCTTATTATTCATTTTTAGTTTTATTCCATTGTTTTCAGAGAAAATACTTGGTATGATTGGAATTTTAAAAAATTTTTTAAGCCTTATTTTGTGGCTAACATGTGGTCTATCCTTGAAAATGATCCATGAGCTAAGGAGAATGTGAATTCTGAAACTGTTGGATAAAACATTCTGTAAATATCTATTAGGTCCATTGGTCTATAGTGCAGATTAAGTCCAATGTTCCTTTGTCCATTTTTTGTCTGGATGATCTATCCAATGCTGAAAGTGGAGTGTTGAGGTTTCCAGTGATTATTGTATTGGAGTCTATCTCTCTCTTTAGCTCTAATAATATTTACTTACCTTATATATCTGGGTGCTCCAGTATTAGATGCATATATATTTAGAATTGTTATATCCTCTTGCTGAATTGACTCTTTTAATCATTATACAATGACCTTCTTTGTCTCTTTTTAAAGATTTTGTCTTTACATGTATTGTATCTGATAGAAGCATAATTATTGCTGCTCTTTTTTGGTTTCCATTTGCATGAATGGAATATCTTTTTCCTTTATTTTCAGTCTTTATAGGTGAAGTGGGTTTCTTGCAGACAACATATAGTTGGCTCTTGCTTTTTTATCCTTCAGCCGCTCTATGTCTTTTGATTACAGAGTTTAGTCTATTAACATTTAATACTACTGATAGGTAAGGACCATCAAAACAAATGTTGGTGAGGTTGTGAGGAGGGCTACCCACAACCAAAGCAAGGCCTGTGGGGTTGTTTCACTTAGGACAGAGAGCATGTCTCATGTGACCAACGTTGACTGCCTGATCCAGAGACCCTGCTCTGCACACCAGCACTGGCGGATAAAAGCTGCCGACTGCTATTCCCTTGGGCTTCCCTTGCCCTGTCTGCAGGCCAGCCCCTCCCTCTGCCCCAAGAGTCTTTTTCTGGCCTCCTCCTCACCGCTTCAAGTCCCCCAGGCAGTGTCTGGGTGGTCACGTGCCTCAGGAGGCACCTGCTTTTCCCTGAGGCTAATTAATCACACCCATGTGACTACAGCAGTTTTCTTCTCCGGTGGCAAGATGACACCCAGTCCCTGGAGTGAGGCTGAGAGCCAAGAGGTTAGGCTGCCCTTGGTTCACAGGGACATGCCCAGGGCTAGGTGAGGCAGCTCCTTTCCCAGGGCCAGACAGGAGCCAGACCAAGATGTGTCTGTCTCTTCTTCCTCTGCCAAACTGCTGGAGATGACTCAGGTGGCTCCCACAGGGTGACCCTCCACCCCTCCCCGCCTCCTCTGGTGCTTCGCACCCCGAGATGGCTCTAAGATGCCCGAGGAGAAGTGGAGGTGAGAATCAGATGCTCCCACGTCAGGGGCACCACACTCACAGTGTTCTCATTGGCCTTCGACCCTCTGGACAAACAGCTATGCCTGGAAGCATAGCCTCTAGGAGCAGACACTCAGGTTTCTGCCCTGTGAACTACAGCAGGTCAGCCAGAGAGTGGAATTCCCAATGTGGCAGGAGTGGAGAGGGGGGTGCAAGAGTGGGCAGTATCTCTGTGATGCGCAGCTGCCTCCATGCACTGGGTGGCCAAATGAAGACCCTTCTGTGTCTCAGGGCAGTGGAGCCCTTAGGAGACACATGCTATGGAAGCCTCTCACATGACAAAAGAAGGGGTGAAGAATGACATCCTGCCACCAGCCCTTGGCTGACTGCGTGGGATCAGCCCTCAGTCACGAGGGCTTGTATCTCGGGACACATGATGTGGTCAAACCCATGCAGTGATGAGGACCATAGAGGAAAATTTGACCTTTGAGGCAGCCCTCCCAGCTTTGCTCTAAATGGCGAGAGCTGATTCAGGAGCGTAGTCAGAAGACAGTATCTTCGTCCAGTGTTAATGAAAACTTGAATATCTGCCTTAAGACATCAGAAATGCAGCTTACTCAACTATGAGCCCCCAGGAAGCTGGGTGAAAAACAGGTAAATTTCAAATTCCTACAGTTAAGTTGGTTGATCACAGTGGGAGGATGTCGGAAGCTGTCCTGTCCACCCCAGATAAAGCCTAAGGTTTCCACTTGACCTAAAGAGGTGGTTAAGTGTGTGGCAGTAGTTAAGCAACTTCTAGGAGACCTTTTAAAGCTTGGCAAATTGCTGTTTCAAAAAGAATTTTTTTTTGTCTTAAACTATATCCCGTTCTCCAACTACACAGGTTCTGAGCATCCCTCTGACCCCAGATAGACAGACCTTTCTGAATTCATCATACTGCTTGCCTAATTCCTACGCTCCACCTTAAAACATTCATTCGAGTGACTGAACTCTGCCAAACACAAGAGCAGAAAGCAATCTAATTCTCCAGAACACTATTTAAATGGGGAATTTTTAAACTGCATATATCTTTTAAGAGCTATAATTTAACTGAGCAGATTTTCTAAACAAGATAAGCATCTCACTTCCGAGCAATGATTCATCTGGTTATATTCGGGGATGAGATGCAGCTGGCATGACTGGCACGGCTGTGACAGCGGCAGAAAAGCTGAGCTACTCTGAGCAGTTGGTAACCAGGGACTGCTGGGCTCCCAAGAGCAGCTCTGGTCTGACCACCTCCTCCCTCCCCAGGGCCACCCCAGACCGTCTCAGGGGTCGTGGTCTGCTGCAAGCTATGCTTGGCTCCTCTCCTGATTGACCGGTGCCTATGTTGTCAAATATTTTGAACATCCCCCTGCTTATAAGAAATATACTTACATAATGAGTGTGATGCACACCACCTGGAGGATGGACACGCTTGAAGCTCTTGACTCGAGCGGGGAGGGGTGGCAAGGGCAATATATGTAACCTTAACAACATTTGTACCCCCATAATATGATGAAGAAAAAAAAAGTCATTTTAGCTATATTTCTAAGTACACATGCTAGTTTTTAAATTTTCTTACACTGTTTTCAGATAAGCATCCAGACAATAGTAAATGAAAATAATAATGGACAGTATTGTCTAATTACTGATTTTAATTATAATGGTTTGATTTTCTTATAGCTATTTTAAGTGGTTTCCAGCCATTTCCATTTTACTTAGTATCGTTTTCAGTACCTATGGATATGATCGCATGGTTTCCCTCCTTTAATATATTGATGTGATTGATTATATTGATAATTTTCCTGATCTTTAACTCTGTTTGCATCTCTGGAGTAAACTCTATTTGATCAAAATGGAAAAAAAAAAAAATGAAATGTCCTCGGGACAATGACATTAAAAAAAGTTGCTGGAATTTTGTTTTCCACACTCTCCTTCCAGCAGTGTTATCATACGCACACAACTGCCCTGACCAGATGGAAACACGCTGCGGAAACCACAGGTGCACACGCAAGTGTGGGCGGGCGGGAGGTGCCACAGGCGGGGACCCGACAGACACAAAGGGCAGCTCACACGTTGAGGGGCAGCTGGACCTTGGAAGGCGTGCCCTGCTCTCCGGCCATGGCAGCGGCCCTCGGGATGGCCGTGGGGGTGGATCCGGCCGAGGAGGAGGCGTCCTGGAAACAGACAAGAGGAGACAGGAGTGAGGGGACGAGACTTGCAGGGGGAAGCTTACGGGTAGGGTCCGGGTGGCGCGGACAGGCGCTTGCTCCTCCTCCGGCCGCCTGGCCCGCTGGCCCCTGAAACGCACAGGCCGCGCTTGCCTGGTTTGTTAAAATGTTTCTTTAGCCCACGGGAGGGAGCCTGGAGGCCAAGGACACCTGTCGCCTTCCGAGCAATTCAGGAAACATCCTCTGGCCTGCATCTAGAGATGGCCATGCTGGGACGCCTGGCTTTATTCTTAGCTCTTGAATGAATTATTCTTTTTGTTAAAGAACGTCCACACAAAGCCTTTCATGCTATGAAACATGAGCTTATTTGAAAACGGTGTCCCCAGGAACTGAAGATTGATCTCTAAAGAAAACTGGCCCTTTGGCTGCGGACCGAGCGGCAGTCCGCGGGGTCAGCATTCACAGGGCACAGCCCTGCCAGGACCCGAAGTGCTCAAAGTGTCACGTCTCCACTCGAGGAGGCCACCTAAGGAGTGGTCTGCTTTGAGGCTGTGCCTTCTCAGCACCAGGTGTGCTGAGTGCTCTGGGGAAAGAGGTCAAGGGCCAAGGGTAGGAATCTGGCAGCACCAAGGTCCTGCCGAGGAATTCCTGCATGGAGAATTCTTAGACCCAGCCCAGGAGGGGCAGCGCTGTCCCCAAACCCCCTCACAACCCAGCCCCCGTCCTGCCCCTGCCCTCCCCTGGGGCAGCTGTCCTGCCTTCCTGTTCAGAGGTATTGGATAGCACAGTGGGTTGAACTGTGTCCCAGTCCCAGCCCCTGGCACCTGTGAATGTGGCCTCATCTGGAATAGGGTCTTTGCAGACATAATATAAGGAGAAGAGAGTATCCTTGCTTAGAGTGGGGCCTAAATCCAAAGGCGAGACACAGAGAGGACAGGCATTACCATAGGCCACGTGCCATGGAGTGGACATCGGTGTGAAGCGTCTGCGAGCCCAGGAGCACCAAGGATTGCCAGCTGCCACCACAAGTCACGAGACAGGCCTGGAACAGGGTCCCCTCAGCCTTCAGAAGGAACCAACCCTGCCGACACGTTGATTTCAGGCCTCGGGACTCCATAACTATAAGAATCACTTTCTGTTGCTTTGTGGGACGCTACGGCAGCCCCAGGAAGCCCAAGCAGGGGGTATCGGGATCCTGCAGGAGGGAGGTCTGTCCCCAGGCAAGGGAGCCAGGGGGTCCTCCCTTGCCCGAGGATCCCTGGTAGCACCGATGGGGACAGGAGGGAGACCCCAGAGACACAGGAGCCAGATGGCCGGGCCAGGCTGCAGCTACACGGGCAGGAGGCAGGTGGGGCGGGGGCTCTGGCTGGGAAAGTGTGTGTGTCGTCAGGGCCGTGTGTCCTCAGGTGGGCCAGGTCACAGAGGCAGAGGTGGGAGGGCAGAGCGGGCTGCACGGCTGCCAGGCAGGCAGGCAGCCCTGGCCCTCGACTGGCCACTGCTGTGAGGGAGCCGGGGGTGATTCTCTCGGCTTCCGGTCAGTTCCAGCCTTACTGAGCCGAGGGGCCCATGCTCTGCAGGCCACCTTCCGACCCCTCCCTGGTGGCCACACTCCCTGTGCACCAGCAGAGTGGATGGAGCCTGAGACTGTGGGCGGCCTCTGCAACACAGAAACTCTCCCTCTTCCTCCCGTGTAGACGTGGAGCGGCTGGCAGAATGAGCTCATGCAATCTGGAAGCGCAGCCTCCCTCGTGTCTCCAGGACACGCTACGTCTCCAAGGACTCACCGTCGCAACTCAGATGCTTGAGAGAGGAAAGGCTGCCGAGAGCCCGGTGTCCAGAGGCAGCCCCTTACCCGTCCCATCCCCGGGGCAGGCATAGAGGTAGGCAATGGCTGAGTGCACCCGCAGGGAGTGACGGGAGGTGTCGGCATTTCTCCCTGCCGATGGGCTCCGGGGGACGGAAGGGGAGACAGACCAGGAGGTGGTCCCAGCAACGCCTGGGTCACTTTCCCCACAGCCGCCCCACAGGGTCCAGGGAGCTTAGTGCCGGAACAGACACCTGAGGGGGAGGAGGAGAAGGCTCCCACCTCACTCCCCCCAGGACCTCCCTCCTGGAGCGTCTGTGCAGGGGACAGGCAGCCCACCTCTCAGTACTGCTGCATCAGGGACTAAGTTTCAACATGAGCTTTAGAGGGGACATTCAGACCCTGGCAGGGGTGGCAGGCATGGAGGAGCCCAGGGGGCCCCGGGCCAGCAGGGCGGGATGCTAGACTGCAAGAGGCAGGGCTGTGTGACTCCCGAGGGTTCTGGTCCTCACCCCAAGGCTGCAGGGAGACCTGCAGCTTTACATCTGCAGCTTTACGGGGACCTGTCAAGAAGCCCCAAGGAAGCTCGGCCTGGATCAGGGAGCCAGGAGGAGGCTGTTAGTAAGGACAGCAGCAGCTGTGACCATGGCATACACACCCGACACAGAGCTTACCGTGGCTGGGCCCTGCTCTGAGCAATTCCCCTGGAATAAAGCTTTGAATCCTCACAACAAGCCTGCAAATGGGCATTTACAAAATGAGGAAACTGAGGCACGGAGAAGTTAGGCGAAGGGCTCACGTTTACACAGCCAGAAAGTGGCCAGGCTTGATCTCAGGCAGGCTGATGCAGGGGCCGAGGGCTCACCCACCACACCACAGGTTAGGTCCCTGCAGCCTCCAAACCAGCACCGGAGCCCATCGGCAGCACCGTGGATTTCCTACCTTACAGTTCTTGAAGCCCAAAGTCCTAAAGCAAGGTGTTAGCCGAGCTGCTGATACGGTTTGGACGTTTGGCCCCTCCAAATTTCAAGCTGAGATGTGATGGCAGTGTTGGAGGTGGTCACGGGGGTGGAGCCCTTAGTGAGGGCTCGGTGCCGTCCTGGGAGTGAGTAGTTCTGGCTGTGCTAGCTCACGTGACAGCTGGGGGTTTGAAGGAGCCTGGCACCTCCTCCTCCCTTGCTCCTGCCGCGTGACACGCCTGCTGCCCTTCATGTTCTGCCTCCACTGGGAGCTCCCTGAAGCCCTCACCAGAAGCAGATGCTGGCGCCGTGCTTCTCGTACAGTCTGCAGAACCGTGAGCCAAACAAACCTCTTTTCCTTATAAATTACTCAGCTTCAGGCATTCCTTTATAGCAGCGCAAACAGACTAACACAGCTGTGTTCCCTCTGGGGGTGCTGGGGAAAAATCCCTTCCCGCCTGTACAGCTTCCAGAGGCCTCTGCCTTCCCTGGCCGGTGGGCCCTTCCTCCGCCTCTAAAGCCGCTGCCATCATCTTGTCTCCTTCTGTGGCTCTGACCCTCCTGCCTTCCCCTCACGTGGACCCTGGTGGCTACGTGGCCACTGGAGAGTCCAGGAGCAGCTCCCCACCCCAGGGTCATTGTCCCTTCTGCCATGGGCAGGTCTGGGGCTCAGGACTCAGGCATGTCTAGGGGGCCACTGTTCCCTCCTCTACCGACAGGACTAGTGGATTCACAGTCTGGAGGCAGCAAGGAGAGGATTCTGGTTGAGTTTTAAGCCTCGACTAGCCGGAGATGCCACTTGAAGAGAAGGGGGTGTGACATCGGGGAGGGTTTGGTGTTGGACACATGGCATTTGGCCTGGAGACGTCTCGGCGTGTAAGATGAGGGCACCCACGATGCCATCCAGGCCTGGATGGGTGACCTGAGGTCATGAGCACAAAGCTGACCTGGAGGTGGTGCAGCCTGGCCGTGGGGCCGCTGCCTGTGCCCTTCGACAGGAGAATGGCCTTGAGCCCCGGTACTCTCCTCTTTGAGAGTCATGGACCTCTGCTCTGACCAGGGCGGAGTAACAGGGCCTGGATTTAGCCTCCTGCCTGAAACAACTGGAAAACTGACAGAACATAGAATCAGTGGTTCCTAAGACTTTGAAAACCAAGCAGTGAAGGACAGAGAACCTCGAGGGATGAGAAAATGGGGTCAAGACAGCGCCCATCATCTAGCCTAGCTGGACTACGAAACGAGACACTTTATGGCATATAGAGGAGTCACAGTAAGTACACAAACTACACAGTCGCCACAGCAACTGCTATGGTTATTGTCATTCCTGAAGCCAGGGTATAAGGGGACACGGTGGCCTGGGAGGCTGTGTAGGCAGGAGGGGGAATCCTGGGGCAGCCGGTGGGATGTGACCCAGGGGGGCCCACAACGTGGCCAAGAAGGGGCTGACAAAGCAGAAGGAGCCCTGTGTCACTGTGTCCCATGGTTCGGGGGAGAGGAGGCTGTTGCAGGAGCAGCCACCATCACTAGTGCTGCACGCTGTGGAACTGGGAAGGGAGCCCGGGAACAAGAAGGATCCACTGGACTCAGGGATGCTCACATGCTCAGGTGCTTCCTGGGGCTGCGCTAGGGAGACTCGAACCCCCCATCCTGCCTCTGAGGACACGCAGAGGACACTGGTGCTGCAGCACTATTTGTGAAATAAAAGCCTGAATCACTGAAGCTGCTCAAACATCCTGTGGCCCAGGCTGGCTGGCTGGCTGGCTGAGGACATGGGACACTGTGCCGCCGTCTACACTGCCGTCTACACGACAGGCGTGGAGGGCTGTGCAGGGCACGTCCAGTGGAAAAGGAGGTGAGAGAAATGGATGTGAATGATTATCTCATGTCTGTTAACAATGCATGTTTTTTAAAGGCAAAAGGTCAGGAAACTTACATATGAAATGGTAAGGTCGATCCCCTGGGGAGCTGGGTTTGGGGATAATTATGTTAATTTTAATCTATATGTTCAACTCATCACTTTAATATCAAGTGATCATGATTTTCTGAAACATTTTCACAGGGATGTGAAGAGGAAAACAAGGTTGAACAACTTGAGGTCTGGCTGCCGGTGAGCCCACGCCATCCTCGGGTCCCCACACACCTCCTTTGCTGGGGGTGCTGGGAGGATGGGGTGTGACCTTGCAGCACCAAAGGGGCCAGGCTGGCAGCTTGCAGGTCTAGGCCCGGGGGACACTGTTTTGCTGCAGTGGGCAGTCGGCTGGGCAGTGGGAGCCACAGGTACACAGATGGCTGGCTCACGCCTGGCCCGGAGCTCTGCTTTTGTTAACAGGCCTCCTGTCCGGTCCAGATGAACTCCCCAGAAACAGCCAAACCAGCCCAAACCTGCATAGAACAAGCAAAGCGCAGCCAGCGCCCGCCTGGGGGGCGGCCTGCCTAGAGTCCACTCTGGCTCGCTGGTCTCCCCTCCCCGGTGTCCTCGGGCCACCCACGCCACATTCGATAGGAGGGAATGATGTGTTGGCAGGGGAGGCAGGGAAGATGGATTCCTACCCATGGACAGAGGAGAGTGTGGATTTGCAGGAGCAGCAGCACGAAGCACGACCCCATCTCTGCCGGCATCCACGACTCCCCCGGGTGAGCCAAACATAAGGCGGTCGGCAGGGTGGGGCGTTAGGAGGCTCAGGAGGGCTCCATGGGGGGATGTGAGGAGCTGCCACAGGGCCCCTTGGGTGTCTGGGGCCTCTGCCACCCTGAGATACTAGTGCGAGAAAAGGAGGGACACTCTAGTAGCTTTGCTGGAAACCTGTCCCTCAGCTGAAACGTGATACAGCAAACACTCCAAACAAACACGTGGGATCTCACAGCCAGCTGGTGCTGAGAGCTGGAGCAAGAGAGCCAAGAGGTCACACCTGGGGAAATGTTTTTTTCTCCCAAAGGTCAAGACAGAGCGTTCTCTTAAACCAACGCACAGCAAGCGTGGCTCCGTGGGGTGCCTCCCGAGTGCCGCTGCAGGGCAGTGTGGGCCCCAGCGAGGGCGCGGAGGGGCGTCCTGCTGAAGGTGGCAACGCCTCTGCCCCTGGGGATGCAAAACTAAAAGTGCAATGAAGCTGCAGCCCGCTGGCTTGGCGCGGCTTCCTGGGCAGACAGGGCCAGCCCGTCCTGCTCTGAGCTGGTCCTCGTCTCGGGGCTGGGGGTGCAGGGGAGGAGTGACACTCCCGGGGGCCCTCCCACCGACCGGCTGCGCTGCGGACTGCTGAGGGCCTGAGGAGAGCCCACCAGTGCTGGTGTCCGGCAGCAGCTGTGGGGAAAAGCGGCTGCTCCTCTAAACGATTGTGATTACAAACCCCGAAGTGCAGGGAACAGGTTTCAAGCCCTGGCGCTGTCTGATGCACCCTCACGCACCTAACCCATCGCTCCTCTTCCTGAGATACTCAAGGTTTCTCTGAAACTACAGCATGTGCAGGGTAAGGGGAGTCCGGTTTAAGACCCACTAACCGTGACACAAGGGTGTCAGGGACTCTGACCACATGTGGGGCCTGGAGCTGGACGGGGGCCTGGCTTTCTGCTAACCGCCAGCCCCTCTCTGATACTGCTTTGATTTGTGATGGCTTAATTTCACCGACTCTGGCCCCAAGAGATTAGTGAAGACATGGCAGCAGAGAGGGAGTCAGGCAGTGGTAAAAATAAGAAATGAGAAGGGGCTCGGGTGCTCTTGAAAAAAAGGAGTTAGGAACGCAGCCCTTGGTCAGATGCTTGCCCTGTCTCCAAACCACCCGGACATATCTGCTCCATCTGAAAGTGCAGCCCAGCCTTGTCTACCACGGAGCTGCGCCCGTGGGCCCACCCCCAGGAAAGGTGATTGATCATAATACGGCAGGTTTGCATTACAGTCTTTGCGGGACCCCATAATGGACACGTGCAGGGATTCAGCCTGCACAGGTGGACACGCACCTTCCAGAGGAGCTGACCACCAATGCGGGGATGCCAGTGGCCTGGTCCTCAGAGTCACTGCCCCCATAGAACAGTGATGACAGCAATCCCTCGGGCCTAATGCTCCACAACACAGCCCACAGGCAATTAACACGAGCCCAGCATGGGCAGGGCTGGCTGGCAGGGTCACGGGTTGGAGAGGTCGCCCCGGTCGGATGGAGTTCACAACGGTGTGCACAGTAAAGGGGAAGCGTGCTACTCACGCTGCTCCCCGGCGCACGAGCCAGGCACACTCCCCTGCTCCACACTGTCCTCCCTGTGACAGAGGCTGCGCTGGGGTGCACTCACCCCTGCAGCTGCCAGTCGGTAAGAACTGGACTGTTGTTCCTGACGGTGGTGCGTTTCGTGAGATTCCGGCCTCCCCTGGTGGGAAGCATCGACTCGGGCTGTGGTGCTGCGGCCGCCACAGTTCCCCAGTTCTAAATTGGCAGGTTGTAACCTAACATGAGTGATGAGAGGCTCCTCACTCCGTTTGAATGGGGCCAGGATGTGCTAGTTTCCTGTCGGGATTACTAAGAGGGAGAAAAGGGAGCCCGTGGCGTGGCAGGCTGTGTGGGGGCTCCTAGCCGCTTTCTTTGACACCATGGCACAGACCTGAGAAGAAACATGTCATTTTAATTTTTAATGAGTCCAAAAGACACTGTCATCACCCCAAGGAGCAGTGAAACGAGCATGTATTATTCATCACTCACTACCATTCCATCACGCACCGTGTAAATCAGACCCTCATGAACTTGCTTCCCAAAGAAAATTCTAGAATGAAACATTTATGGCCTGATTCTTCTGCTCAGTTCTGCAAAGAGCAGCAAACAGCTTGTACAGCCAGCAGCCTGGGTGCCTCCTGAGCTCCCACCCCAGCAAGGGCAGAGGCCGGGGAGCCCGAGCACAGTGGTCTGTCCCAGGAGAGGCAGCTGCCGTGCTAGCTGCCGACACAGCTTCCACGTTGCCTCCGTGGGCGAGAGGAATCACTTGCTCACCCCGGGAGATGGACGCCAACATTCACCTGCACCGCTGCCCACCAGCCAACCCCTCCCCAAGGTGCCCCAGATCTGCCCGTGGGCTCTTAAATTCTCACCCACAGGTCAGATCTGGCCTGGCGTCTCCACCCCTGCTTCTGCTGTTGTGAATAAAGTTTTATTGGCAGCCAGACATGTCTACCATTCATTGCTGCCTCTGGTTGCTCTGACCCAGTAGGGCAGAGCTAAGTCACTAGGACAGAGACTATGTGGGTTGCAAAGTCTAAATATTTACTTTTCTTCCAGAAAGTGTGCTGACCCCTGTCTAGGGGTATGTGATAAGAGGATGAACCTCCAGTTTCTGCCCTTGTCTTGCTGGGACCAAAAGCTGTAATAGTGGCCAAAGCACGGTAAGGCACCCCCATGACATTATTAAGGAGAATGGGCCAAAAAAAAGAGGTGTGGAGCATGGGAGGACAGCACCCACAAAACTAAGGAATGAAAATCTCAAACTTCCAAGGAGGGAAAGGAAGGTCTGCAAAGGAAGTGACAGGACCCATGTCTTACCCACCTGGGCCTTCATAGGTCTCTACTCTAAACCAACAGCTTTTGCCCTGGAGACTTCTTCCACCTGGAAGAGTCATGGATGGTCTTCATCCATTGCTTTCCCTTCTCAGCTCTCTTTCCCGTGTGCAAGAGGCAGTTTGCTTGCTGGCCTTTGACAGTAGGAAGCTGTTCAGTAGCTCCCATGGACCTTCTTCCCTTCCCTGTGTGATCTATAAGACCAAAGGCGTTTTCACCTGCATTGCACAAAAAGCACAAGATTCATTTGCAGCCAAGGACTCAAACAGAAAGTGCCTCTGCTGCAGGCAGTGGCTCCCTTGGTCTTTTGGAGGCTCCTGAGTTAGAGGCATATCCTGTGGGGGGTATACAGAGGGTTCTTTACGGACCTACACCTCTAGGCCCCTGGGCCCACTAGGCAATGAGCACATAGTCCACGCCATAGAGGGTGGAGGTGAGAAGGGCCATCGGTTGGCACCGGAAGCAGGAGGTGACCAGGCAAGGATGCCAGGCCCCTGTGGCAGTTTCTACTGGGGTTGCCTGGGACTCCTCTGGCCTCTGGTGTGAAGGTACAAGCTGTTCCTGGGCAGAGGATGGCAAGGACATTAAGAACCATCCCTGCCCACCCTGGGCCTCCTGGCTGCCTCTCCCCCCTCTTCTCCTCCCCTTCCCAGAGCTCAGCTGCCCACTTCCCTCCATGCAGGGCACCTGCCTCCCCACCCCAGATGTCATCTGGGTGCAGTGGCGGCTGGGACTCACAGCCTTCCCTGACGGTGCACCCTCCATGGGCTCACATGACCTTGTCCCGTGTGTTTCATCCACATGATCAGCTTGTGAGCTTCACTGAGGCAGAGGGTGCGCCCGTGTGGAGCCTGCACACGCCAGGCCAGCGTGTGCCACACAGTGCTCCAGGGCTCTTGTCTAGTGCCAAGGGGACCCCAGGGGCCTCCTCTGACATGTCCCTCCCTCATCTGCCTTGACCAGCCCAGAGTCACAGGCAGAACTTGTGAATGTGGCTCCTGTCTCATCAGAGCTGCAAAAGAAACGCCACCAGCACCTGACACTCTGGAGGACAAGTGTGGTGCATGACAAAAATCGTCGGGACGCCAGCTCACAGGCAGCCACAGTGTCCTCATCCCCACTCAAAGGCCATGGCTGGTAAGTCACACAGGTGTGGATATGTCCAGATTTGTAGAAAAGTTTTTCTTGTGCATGATTCTCACAGTGGTATTTTTTGGTATTCATCTCAGATTCCCCCAGTACTTTTTTTTTATCTCCTTATAAGGCATGTAATTAAATTCATAACTTTCTGAAAATGCTGAAAATCGGCCCAGGGGCTCCTCCACGCAGGCGGCACATGTCCCTCGGCGAGTGCCGGGCTGGGGGCGGCACAGCCCACACACTGCTGATGACCCCACAGCCTGGGAACCGCGGGCCTGGGGCAGCAGAGTCCTCTTTCGGTTTCTTCAGCTTCTCCCCAGCACTTCCTCCCACTTAGAGTGTCTGTCTGCCTGTCTGTCCGTCCTGTGGCAGAGATAAGATCCAGCCAACGAGGGGAGCTGAACTTGAGACAAACGGCAGGTGGTGATGCATTTTAAAGATGCCTGGAAGCTTCCACGAGGAGCTCTCCTCATTTACTTCTCAGACACGAAGACACTTGAGAAATGTTCTCTTTTGATGTTCTCTCTGCTGAATTTCAAACACTTCCCTTTCCATTGATTTAAAGGGCATTTTCCTGGTCTCCAGGGGTTGCTTATTTGGAGGTGATCTGTCAGCTGTCAGGCTCTCCAGCCAGGGCTGCGGAAGGAGTTTGTTCTGGCTGGACGGGGAGTCAGCCTGCATCGGACCCCGCTGCAGGGCCGGCTGGGAGCCCCCAGCACTCCGTCTGCTGAACCAGAAGGTGCCACCAGCAGCACAGACGCAGCCATTGGAGCAATGCTGGCCTCAGTTTGTAAGGGCCTCAGCGCTTCTCCTCCCTTTTAAGAAGGGCGGGGCTGGAGGACTGGCTTTGGCCACTGAATTGTGAGCAGAGGTGACACATGTCCCCTGCGTGCAAGAGCCCCTAAGGGCTGCTGCACAGGCTGCCACGTTTCTGCCCCTGCCATGGTCACTGGAGACGCTCCACACCAGGGGCCAGCAGTGTTCTCTGTGCAGGGCCTGACAATGCTCAGGCTTTGTGGTTCATACACTCTGTTATGAGTATGCAGCACCCCTGCCGTGGCCCACAATGAGCTACAAATGATATATAAATGGGCAATGTGGCCATGTCCCAGTAAAGCTCTGATTTACTAAAACAGGCAGAGAGCTGTACTTGGCCTGCAGCTGTTTGCTGGTATCCCTGGGGGGAGGACACCGGAGCTGAGCCACCTGCCCATAACACGTGCAGTGTGAGACGCAGGCATCCACTGCTTTATGCCTCCAGGAGTGTGGGATGCTTGTTACGTGGCGTGGCCACCCACGCTGACTGACATGGGGCACTCCACAGCTAACTGTGTCCCCTGAGCATCTGCAGGCAGTTTGGTGACTCCTCAGTCACTTGCCTTTTTTTGTGTGTGGTTATGAGGAAAGTCTTCTAAACTATAAGCAATCATGTCCCAATTTATCCAATAACCTTGATAAGCAAATATCTGGATTTCTAAGAGTGGAGTTGTCCTGAATAGCCTCTTCCCCACTCCTTTCCTTGGAGAGTCCTCTCTGTCCCCCGCAGAAAGCTGATGTGTGAGGCTACTCCATTATTCAGGAGGAACGGAGCTGACCCTCTGACCTCTCCAAATAGCAGGGAGAAAGAATTCCTAAGGGTTCGAATATGAGCAGGACAGCCATCTGAGGCTCAGCCCCACTGCGTGCCCCTGGGATTTCTCAGCTAGACACCCAGCAGCTGTGTCCTCTCTGTAGCCATTGGCGTGGATCTGAGGCCCATGGGGCACTGGGGAAGGCCACTCGGCCTTTTCAGTGCTGCACTGTTGCATGTGCAAGACTGTTCAGTGTGCAATGCTATGATGTGGGTCACGTGGCCCACCCAGGAAGAAAATCAGCATGTGCGAGCCCCACCATGGGCCAGGCATGAGGACCCAGAGGTCAATGGCACCCAGCTCTGGCCCTCAAGGACCTGGAAGCCCGGGGTGTGGGCTAGCCATATGTATAATTAACATTCCATGGCAGACATGTGTGAGATCCTGCTGGCACAGAGAGTGGGGAATTACCTGGCAGGTGGAGTGGTGGCATGGAGAGGAAGTGGACATTTCAGATGGCCTGGAGGGTGAGCAGGAGCCCTGCACACAGCGTGTGTGTGTGCTGCGTGGGGGACAGGACGTGCCCAGGGGCAGTGAGAAGGGACAAGGGCAGGTGCTGAGCTAGGGAGCCTAGGGTTTGTCCCAATGCCGTGGGAAGAACCCAGGGAAGAACCTCACTGCAGGGAGATTCCACAGGGAACCTGGAGTTAGAGTGTGGGAAGAGGATGCAGGGTCCCAGAGGCTCAGGGAACTTGAGGCTGGTGGTGTTCCTCCCCCGGGTACAGGGAAGCAGGTGTGAGGGGAGCCATCATACTCTCCTGCTGTGTGTGGAGGTGGAGGCACTTCCCCAGGGGGAGCCACCAGGTACAGTTAAAATAGAATCTGGTTTGGAAAAGGCACTGGCAGGGAGAGTCCAGACACACCGGGGTTTCGCGGCTGGCTAGTGTTCTGCGCAGGGCTGAGCACACCATGGGGACTGTGCACAGGATGGAAGGAGAAGGCAGGGGCATCAGTGTTCACGTGAGGGGCCGGGGCAGGGCTCACACCGGGGCAGTCGCAGCAGCAGGAAATAAGGGGGAGGCATCCTCAGCAGTGTGGGACACGCTGAGGTTGGGAGGGTGGAGGTCAGGGTGGGACTGCAGAGAGTCCCACACAGGCAAGGGGAAGTCAAGTGCAACGGCGTGAGAAAGGAAGGGGACAGGGCCTTGGGTGGTGCTGGGAGGGGGCAGCAGGAGGGGGCAGCTGAGTCTGCATGGCCAGCAGTCTGGGCCACATCACACCTCTGCACCTCTGTCCCAGGGAGACATGCAGGAGCCCAGCCCAGCTCAGTCCACCCCCTGCCAGGCCCTGCTCACTGCATGTCTGTCCCAACCTGTCCCTTCACAGCAGGTTGCTGGGAGCTTGAGGCCCCAGCCTCTAGGATTTCCCACATGGCTTCCTGGAGCCCAGGAGCCTTCCTGCAAGGTGGCTGCTGCCCCACGGACACCCTGAGGTGGGAGAAGCACAAGTCCCAGATGCTCTCACTTCTATTCCCCCCAAGGGACCCTAGTGGGACGTGAGGCCAGGCCAGAGTCACCTTCCCTGTCTGCCCCATAGCTCCTTCCTTCCTCAGCCCCACTGTCAAAGCTAATTCAAATCCTCAGGGAACAATATGGTGCACAAATTTAAAAAAAATCTGTTCCCTTCCTGCGTTCTATGGCAGACAGCTGACTGCAGAGCACCTGCTCTGGTCCACCTGCTCATGCCAGCACAGAGGCCATGGCAACAGGGGCCTTGTGCAGGTAAGGATGAGGGAAAGAGGAAAACTGGATCCTGCACCCACGTGTGCTGAGCCCATGACTCAGGTGCATGAGGGAAAGTGGCAGAGAAGGCACCCCTGGCCCTCTGGGGACACGGCAGCAGCTCTGCTGAAGTCCACAGGCCCTGCTGGGCTCCTTTCTCAGAACCCCAGGGAGCACCTAAGAGAGGGCAAGCCTTGGACAGATGACCCACGAATTACAGGACATGCAGACCAGGCACCCTGGGAGGTGGAACTGGCCTGGTGGTGCCAGGGCCAGCTTTGGCTGGGGTGATCAGCAGTAAGGCCCCCCAGTGCCGCTCCCTCACCACCTCTCTCCTTCCCTCTGGTTGACCGGTCCCTGAGCACAGTGAGGGTGGCCTTCATTGCCCCAGAGAAAGGAGATGAAGGACCTACCTGAGAGGTGCACCAGGCCGGCCCTGCTACCTGGTCCTCTCCTAGGGCCTTCTGCCAAGCCTGGTATAATTCCTCCCCGCAACCCCCAACAGAACTAGCTTTAGAACACAACTTCCACTGTCCACACCACCACAGCTGCCCAGGCAGGACCCAAGCCCTGAACTGGAGCAATCACATCTCGTTGTCATTGGTGACAGACACAGTCAGCTGCCCTGGTCTCATCTGCACTATGACAACCAGCCCTGTGTCTGCTTACCTCCCGCTCGGCATCTCCAGGATGTTGGAGCAAAGAACAAGACCATCCCGAAACCTCTGCTCACCGGCTCTCCCTGAGTGTGGGGCCAGGCTGGCCACCAGGAGCCTCTCATAGGAACTTATGCACACTAGGTGCTCAAGGACGGCTTGGAGAGTTTAGGCCTTGGCTGAGGGGTGGGGTTAGGGTCCAGGTCAGGGTTGCACCTTTTCCCTCGTGGAAAACGCACCAACAGCCCCAGGGACTGTCCCCTGAGGAATACGGGTCCAAGACACAGGCTCTGGGAGCTTCCAAGCAGTGGGGCAGCCATGGGACCGATGAGCATGCAGGTCACGACCAGCAAATGCTCTAGAAGGCACAGCACCCATTCCAGACCAGGGCCTCAGCCGCCAACAAGAACCAGCATTTGCGTGTGTACCCACCACTGTGTGGGTGTGCATGGGGGTTTGTGTGTGTACGTGCGTGCCTATGTGTATGCGTGTGTGTGCATGTGCTCAGGTGCATGCGTGTGCACACGTGTGTGTACTTGTGTATGTGTGTAGGGGCATTTTTAGGGTGACACGGCTGGATGAAATTGCCATTCTCTGGAAACTCAGCTATTGTTTTAAGGACAATTCTCTTGGTAAAGTTATCTGAGTTACTTACAACTTTGAAAAAGATGGTTCTTCCCCAGCCAGTTGTTCATTGGTGTTTTCCCTAATTTAGCCCATGAACTGGTGCCCTTGCTCTGAGATGGGTCCAGAGAAGCCAAAAGTGACCCTGGAGAGAACATGAGGCCAGGTGGTGCGTGGGCCACTGGGTGGGAAGGTGAGAGCAGACAGAAATGTCATGGCACTGTCAAGCTGCCCTGTGCTCATCTGCACCGTCCTGGGGGAGGCTAGGGGACATAGCACGGGCATGTGGTTGCAGGGCCACCCTGTAGGGTCCTCAGAGACCCCCCTCCACTGCCTCTGCAATATTCATAAAGGAGAAACTTTCCCAACCTTCCCCTGTATATACCACTGTGATGGGTTTTGCCAGAGGTACAGACCATTTACTTGCTTAATCTCTATAAGTGCTTTGCTTGGGTCACTTAAATTTACAACCAGTAGAAATGGAATCAATGTCACATCTGGAAATAGAAGGTACCTCTAGAAATAACAGTAACAAAAATACTAAGCAATGTAGCTAGTTCTGGCTCTGAGCTCTGGCCTTTCTCCCTCCTTGGAAGGGAAATTAGCAGGTGTGAGACACACACACCCCCCGGGACGCAGGCAGACAGCTGTTACGCCAGCTGAGACCAAGACCCCTCTCACGAGGTGATGGATGTCACTCAAACACTGTGTCCCTGGACTGTTGAGAGTCACCTCCTCTGAGCCACAGAGGGTGTGCTCACATGTCTATCAAGGCTTGGGGGGGAGTCCCCAAGGCCAGGCAACAAGGAGGAAACCACAGTTAACCCCAAAGGGTAGTTCTGGGGTGGCTTCCTTCGTGCTAATTCAGGAACTGGGGCCGCTGAGCATGGAGCTGAGGGTGGAACCCAGAGAACCCAGGGACGCGGGCCCTGGCCCGTGGGATGGTTACCTGGGCGGGAGCAGCGCAGGACAGATGAGCCAGGTCCCCGATCCTGGCGGCGGCCCGGGGATCGCTGGAGCTGATCAGCACCGGGGCGCTAATCTCCATGGAATGCCTGTGGCTGGTGGCCTGGGAAGATCTGTGCGTGACGCTGAGCGAGGTGAAGGAGTGGCGTTTCTTGGCATTCTTCTTGCCATCCACACGCCGCTGAAAGGCACTGACTGCCCCCGTGCTGCCTAACGTGGGGCCCGGGGCCAGGCTGGCCACAGCACCGGGGTCGGAGGGCAGGGAGGCGTTGCAGCCGGACGCGGCAGCTGGGCACGGCTTGTCCATCTCAATGAGCTGCTTGGCGGAGTCGTTGAGCTAAGGGAGAAAGGGGAGAGGGGAGGCTCCGTTAAATACCTCGCACGCTGCCGGCTCTCGGCCCTCTCGCGGTGCACGCCCACTCACAAGCAGGCAGTGTGCTCACACCGGTCAGGCGTCTCTGACAGTGGCTTCCAGCATGACCGGTGCAGGAAGACAGAAGAGAGGCTGGCGGGATGTCTACAGATTTTATTGAAAAAAGCTTTCTGGAGCAGCTCAAAGTCCCCTGGAGCTGTGACAGAGAGGAGGGGCCTCACAGAGTAGAGAGGAGTGTTTTCCAGGGGCTGCTCCTTGCTGGCCCCAGTCTGTCCCAATGGCCAGCTGTGCCGGGGTGCAGCCCTGCGGACAGTGAGTGACAGGAGGCAAGCAGGGAAGGAAGTCCCCGGCACGCAGCAGGACGGCAGGTTCCTGGCCTGCCCTGTGCAATGCCGTCACTTCAGAGATTTCCACATGCAGGACCAGGATGCACTCTGGCTAGTGACTGCCACCGCGTCTGCCAGGGGTGTCTGCCATGGTCTGCGTGAACCAGGGAAGCTTCAGGCCCCAGAGGCTGACCTCAGCTCATCCCAATAGTCTGTCATTTGGAGTGATTCAGCAAGGACTCAGGACACCACGCCTTCCCAGCTCTCCCACCTGCTCTACAAAATAGCAGGCATTTTTTGGTTTTGTTTTGTTTTGTTTTTGCAGTGTAGAGTTTGACACAAGTCTGGTCCTGGGTGGGGTGCCTATCAGGAAAGGTTATATGAAGGTTCCAGTCTGTGAGTAACCTGGGAATAAACAGCCCAGGCTGGCTGAGCTGAGCCTTCTCTGGGTGCTATCACCTGGAGGGGTTGACTGGCCTGGGCATACCCCCAGGGGCAGGTCTCAGAGTCACACAGCTCCAGGGGCACCAGCTGTGGGAAACACACGCTCCCTCTGCACCTGCTGTGGGGGTCTGGTGGGGCCCTGGGTTAGGTGACCTGTCAATTCGCTATCTATGAGCCATGACGTCCCTGACTTCTACACCTGAGAAGGTTTTCACTCAGCATGTCTGATGGACCCCTTTCTTAGGCTGTTAGGAACAGGTTGTTAGCTCAACCTGAGTTCATACGTAAAGGGGGAATTTGCAGTGATTTGAAGGAATAGATTAGAAGAAACTATTTACTATGTAAATAGAGATGGCCAGGAAGAAAATGCAACACTAGAATCAGCTTAGGATTGTCTCCACAAGATGGGTTAAAAAAATGCCACCATACCAGGTAAATGCCTGCAAGACCCCATTCCTTCTCCCTCCCCTTCCCAGAAGTAGCTGAAGAAAGTGAGGCCCTTGGGTGGACCTCCCTCGAGAAGCAGACAGCCCAGCAGGGGCGCACTTGAGCTGTCTCTTTGTGTTTTCTCCTCACCAAATGGGGAACCCTGGAGGGGCTCTGGGCCCCAGCAGGGCCAGCACATGTTGTCTATCATGGTAACTACCTGGGGTTGGGGCCACCCAGGCTGTGTGCTATGGGGCACTGCAGAGGCACCAAGGCAAGTGCCCTGAGGTTCCCACCAAGGGCCTTCAGCAAGCTACAGGTGGGCCATGGGGGCAGTTCAAACCCTTCATGGGGAAAATGGGACTATGCAGAGTGTGGAAGGGTACACAGGATTCTAAGGGGACAGAGAAAAGCAGGGAGTCTGAGAAACTCAAAAGGCGGAAAGCCCACAGCAGGCAGCCAAGGTCCGTGTGGAATCTGCAGTGGATCTGCATTCCACCCCCCCAAACCCCAGCCCCCCGTGGGCGCCACACCTGCTTCCTGTGCCAAGCAAAGGCCTGTCTGCAGCACCCTCCTCTCTGCTGGCCCTGCAGGGGGCTGGAGCTGGCAGGTCCCCCACATGCACGGCGTGAGGCCCACTCCCACAGGCTGCGGAGTCTGCCGTGGGCCTGGTCTAGGAACCTCCCCTCCATCCTGTGAAGCGTTGAAGGGGACACCAGGTCCCACTCTGCACGCGTATGCTACTACCGCCTGCAGCCGGCAGCACCTTGATAGGTTAAAAACCCAGAAGCTGAAGCTGAGGAAGGGTGGCCCATCACAGAGCTGCTCTCTCTGGCACGAGCCGGGCGGCTGGAGGTTCCAAGCTGCCTTCAGAGCCGGCCCAGGCACATGGCTGACGGCATCTCCACTGCAAATACCTATTTTTTTTCCATAGGAAGGTTATGAAAAACTCACTCCAGGCTCCAAAACGTGTGATCTAAATCCAGGGTCATTTCCTTTGAAATGTTTCCTCCAACCAGGCTCAGCTGTTGCGCTCTATTTCGTGGCTTTGTTCATCTGCTCCCTCGTAAGTGCTACTCAAAGAACAGACCGGTGCCCGTTCCTTCCCGCAGCCCTCCGTGGGGCGCCCTGGCTACGCCGGGGCGGGCTTCCTACACCCCAGTGTCTGTGTCCCGCCTGGCAGGGCCCAGAGGAGGACGGAGGAGCAGAGAGCAGCGAGCACAAGGCCTTTCATTCATTGCCCGCTGGACACATTCCGAACACCACCTGCCACGTGTCTCCACTCGGAACGTCATTGAATAGAAATAACAACGATGATAATGCCAGCGGCTGGGTGAAAACAATTCCCTTCTGCCCCAGAGGATCAGAGCTGGAGTGTCCCACTTCGTCCCCCTGTGACTCTGCTGGGTGGTATTAAAAACTGCATTTTCAAAATTGGGATATACAGGCGCCAGCTGGTTGGTGAACACACATCCAGAACAGACGGGGCTGTGATTTGATTGACGGCGGAGATTTCCAGCTCCCTGTTCTCATCTGGTGGCCACTGCAGCTCCTGGTCCCTCATCAGTGCTGTGGGTCACTGAGTGCCGGGCAGCCACCAGCACGTCCCCCCAACAGGCTGCTCACACCCCCTTATGGTGGAGAACGAGGGTATGAGAGGCGACCCACCCTTCTCTCTCAAGCTTTAACAATCCAAGCCAAGGTGGGTGCCAAAGTGAGAGCAAATAAACATCCACTGAAGACAGGTGGTTTCCACAGACGGCAGGAGAAAGAGAGCACCTGCCTCCAGGTGGGTCGTCCCCAGCGTTCCATGGACAGCTTACGTCCCTGACATCCCTGCAATAGGCAGGTGAGCTGCCAACGAAGGACCCTCCTGGGAAGAGAAGCAGTTTGGTTATATCTGGTTGACTCATCTTTGCTTCTGGGACAAGCAGCTCTTGGATTCTCAGCGGGCTTGTCTCCTCCTGCTCCAGGCAGTGAGCGATTGCTGTGACAGTCCAGAATGGACCAATTCGTAGGTTCTCAACATACAGATCCATCTCTGCACACATGAAACCAACCCACCAGCGGAGATGGTGGCTTGCCAGAGTGGACACACATGGTGACCAGCAGTCACTGTGCTGGCAGGACACAAATGGCTGCAGCAGCTCTGTGATTCAGTCCTGGGGCAAAACTTATCGTCCTGGGAAGCTGCCATCGTCTTCCCCATAAGCTCCAGTCAGTCACATTGCAAAGGTGGCCCTGGCAGATGGTGGCACTGGTGCCATCCCAACCTAAAGGCTTCTCACTGGCCACCAACATCTTCATGCACCCACTGGACACCCTCACCTGCCAGCACCTGCCCCTGACGGCAGCTCCTGCGCCAGCCGGTTAGGAACAGCCACAGTTTCCCACCTTGTCACTCTCTACGTTGGTGCAGATCACCTGGCCCACTGGCCTCTGTGCTGCAGGGAAGCCAGGGGCCCCGCTCTCCCCTCTGTGGGCTGCAGCACCGCCTTGCCAGGTGCGGGGACCTTGGCCGAGAAGCCACATGTCCTGGGGAGGCCAAGGAAACAATGAATGTCAAAGGATGTTCTCTCCTTCCCCCCCAGCCAGAATGCTAGAATGTTCTGTGCTGGCTACCAACGGTGAGGGGTGGGGTGTAGTGGGGTGGCCAGTGCCTCCTGGGACTCTGCAGAGGGGTGCACCCTCCCCACAGATGCTCGTCTGGAAGTAAGAGGGCTCCATACGTGTCGAGAGGTCCCCGATCTGTCGGTCAGGTGGGTGCCCCCTACCCACAGACAGGCGCACACACAACCAATGCGCCCAAGAACTACGCTGCTGACTTTTTTTTTTTTTTTTGGATACAGAAAATGTTTCCAACTTCCATAAAAAATGGAAGCAAAATGTTAGCACTGACATTTTCAAAGTTTTGATGAGTTTCTCCTTTACCCTGAGGACCGTCTCTGGTTCCTGGACAGGAAGGCCCCATCGCAGGTGTGCCCATCCCACGCTGTCGCCACCGGCCCTGGATGCTCCTGGGATGGCAAGGACAGGCTGGTGCCGCTGCTGGCTGTGCGACTCTGCCCTGCCACCTCTCGGCTTAGCCATGCTCTGCCTACGACTTCGACCGACTTCACTAGCTTAGCTGTGATGTCCCTCCACAACCACTTTCCAGCCACAGAACCATCTAGAAATGTAAGAAGAACTGAAGAGTTCCTCCTAGTCACCGTTTAAACGGTTCCATGGAATGTCCTCTTGGACTAGCATGAGCTGTAGCATCCTGGCAGCACCTGAGCGTGGGGCCCGGGCTAGGTAAGGAGCGCCCCTCCCTCCCCAGGCCACGTGAGCCACGAGCTCCTGTGGCAGCCACAGCCAGCCCGGGATGTGGGTGATGGGTCCAGGCTGGGCCAGAGCACAGTTACCCCAAACCACTGGGTCTGACCCAGAGGACTTTAAACTGAATGTATGCAAGAGGAAGTTTTTGTTTGTTTGTTTTCAAGAAATAAGATGAGGGAGGAGAGCAGACACAACACAAAAAGAAGAGCAGTGTGGTGGAAGGTGCCCAGCAGTTTCCAGGAAAAATAATAGGAAGTAGCTGTCCAGCCCTGGAACCTCTGCCCTGACCCCGAGCAGGGTAAGAACCCTCTCAGCATGGAGTGACGGGGCCTGACTGCCATGAGAGGGAGGCAACCTGTCCCGAAACCCACATCATTGCGGAAATCCAGGAAGCCAAGGGTGCCAGCTGGGGGCCAGGGCTCACAGTTTAAAAAGAAGGCAACAAATGACTCTTTTCAGAGATGGGCCATTCAGACGACAAATACTGATTGGGGAAACCTACCACGCCCCGGCTCTGAACAAAGACCCCGTTCTGAAGGAGCTGCTATTTCAGTGTGGACCGAAGCACGCGGGGATCTTTGCACAGAGCCAATTCCGGCATAAAAGGTGTGGGTGGTGCCCTCGTTCCTGCATTTCTACAAGCTCCCAGGAGGGACACAGACGGGAGGCTGTTCCTGAAGACCCCACTCCAGCAGCAAGCTTCTAAAACAGTGCTAGCAGGCTCAGCTTCACAACAGAAGTGCCCTCCTTGGGAACCCCCCAGGGCAGCAGACACGTGTGTCCTGGAGACTCCTGCTGGCCTCTGCCTTCACTTGCTGCTCCCAGCCCATGCTGGTCATTGGCCTGTTGGGTCTTAGAGCCTCACAAACTCAGGAATGGGTGAGGAATGGCCTTTATTTGCCTGAAATTCCCATTGGAAGAAACCTTGGGAGCTTCTGCCTCACTGAGCTAGGCAGGCAAAGACAGCTAGGATGTGCTTTGATCGACATTTCTTTAGGAGATTAAGTCCTCGGTAGGGTGGTAGAGAAGGAAGGATTCCCTTCAACCCTGCCCCCTGACTTTCCTCGTAGACCGCCCGCATCCCAGAGGTTGTGTGTGGCAAACACCTACTGCCTTTGAGGAGAAAGTCTACCAAAACCAGAGCGCCTGCTGGTCAGAACCAAGTGGCCTGGTGACAACCCCTGGCCAAGCACATCTGAGATCCACCTTCATCCCCACACATGCTCATCCTACCCTTATTACAACAACCGTCTGAGGCCACAGCAACATGGCCATTTTACAGATGAAGAGACTGAGGGTCAGAGAGGTTCAGTGACGTGTTCTAAGTCACACCATGAACAAGCAGCACGATGGCCACTGCCCGCAGGTTTTCTGCTACATCTCATCAGATCTCATCACTGCAGGGCACAGAGGGCCTTCTCATCTTGCTACATCTCTGGGTTAAAATGATGACTGCATTCACCGAGGTATGCCTACACCCTTGGCAATTGGAAGGGGCTGGGTTCATTTTAGAGATCCAAATGTTGGAGGATGTGCTGGGGGCAGGCGCTGCAGGTTAACTGGAGGAGGGTGGCTGGAAAGTGACCTGGGGCCCCAAACCTGGGAGGTGCGGGAGGGAGCCAGCCTCCTGGCATCTGGGGAAGGGCGCTGGGGAGGTGGGAACAGCAAGTGCGAAGGTCCATGGTAGAAGCTGGCTGGAGCATCTGAGAAGGAACGAGGAGGACAGAGTGGCTGGAGCAGGTGCATGGGTAGAAATGAGGTCAGCGTCATGGGGTCAGATGTGGCCAGGGCTCCCGGGCCTCTGGGAGGTGTTGGCTGTCCTGAGTGAGAGGGGGGCATGGGAGGGTCTGTAGCAGCACAGGGACAGGACAGGACCCCCAGCCACTGTGCTCAGTAAAGACTGTAGGGGATGAAGCACTTCGAAGCAATCATGTTATTGGAAAATTCTCACAATTTAATGGAAAAAAAGCAAGATAGAAATACTGATACAGCACAATCCCAAATTTGTCTAAAATATATGTAAATTTATACATAGAAAAGAATAAAGGAAATGGAACAAGATCCTAACAACATTTCATTTCATTCTTTTCCTACATGTATATTCATATTTGCTGGTAGGATTATGGGTGATTTTAATTCTCTTCTTTACATTTTTCTCAATTTTGAAAAGTAGCCAAGTATTATTTTTATAATCAGAAAAAGTCATTAAAAACAAAACAAAACAAAAGAGCAGATTAGGCTGGGATCTCCACTGACCCATGGGGAGACTTCTGAGTCATGGCTGTAACAGATATTTGTTCCATTTTGAACAAACAGTGAGACGCTGTAAGAGCTGTGGTGTTTCAGTTTTGTGAGAATGCGGTCACTTTTTAAGAGTGTGATGTTCAGGCAAGGTCTAGCCAAGGTTTCCTTTTCCTCGGTTGGTTTCATTCAAGCCCAGGTGATGGCCCAAGTCGGACTCCTGAAGGGACTCCAGCATCAAGGGGCGGCCTCCAGAGAGCCTGAGAGGGCTCAGAAGGTGGAGAGGGGCTGCCAGGGCTGAAAGGGAAGGAAGCGGAAACCCAGAGAGCGGGCAGCAAACCACGCCCGGCCGCCAGCCGAGCCTGGTTGTCTGGGGCACAGCCCCGCCTGCTGAGCTGTTGGTTCTGACAATGACATACACAGCCCCTTCTCCCTTCCCTCTCCACCAGTTATCCAATTTTTTTGGGGGGGGGAGCTCTAACACCCAATGGATACAGTAATTTTTAACTTTTTGTATAATAACAGACAAGTCGAAAGATGTACCCATCAGCATTCTGCCTCCTGATTCTGTGTGCTGCCTGCCTGACCTCCCCCTGCCCTCACTGTTTTTCCAGCAAATCACAGAAACCACATGACTTCACCTGTAAATTCTCAGTGTGCGTCTCTAACAGGCGGAGAGACCCACAGTCACCAGGCCACCCTCAGTGACCAGGGAGGCAGCTGGATGCCCAGGTCGTTTCCTCTTTCCCTCTCTCAGCTCTGTCCATGGGAACAACTCCAGCCATTGGTCGGCTTTTCAGCCTTAACCCTCTTTTGGGTGGGGGTCCAGGGTCTGTGCCTTGGAGGGTGAGAACTAGCACGTTGCTTTGCTTCCAGAGCGAGTGACATGCTTCCACTGAGATGCATCGCTCATGAAGCTCATCCTGTTTCTTCCTCTCAGAACCACCTCATTTCTCAGCTGGGTCCAAGAGCGGATGTGAAAAACTGCAATGACTGAAACCCTAATGGCAACCCAATACACTTTCCCTGAAGTGGCGTATTTAAGAAGAGGTGAACTCATGAACCGTGTTGCAAATTTAGCAATAAGAAATACAAACGAACAATAGAGAGTTTCAACCACACACCCATTCCCTTCTACATATGAAAGGGTCTATGGAAGCATGCATTTGCCCTCCTGAGTTTGTTTTTTGTCCCCTGATGAAGCTGCAATCCCAACACCCAGTCTATTTAGGCCTGGCCAGCCCCAGGCGTCTGAGTACCCAGAGGCTGCTCCTTGCTCCCCCTCCCACATTCAGGCTCTGTCCCCAGCGTGGTGGTTGTCCCTCCCCTGAAAGCTGGGGTTATCTCAGACGAGCTCCCCTGCCCTGCACAGTTTATGGAAACTCACTCTCCGAATGATGGTTTTCATCCACACCGAATGAAACCTGAGACTATTCCAAATTGCTTCTTTTAAGAGCAGGCGTCCTCAATCTATGGCCCGCCGAGGACGTTTATCCAGCCTGTCGGGTGTTTTTGCCACCGCTGCCTGTCCTGCTTAGCAGCGGACTCGTCCCAGGCCCACAGTGCGCATGTGTGGAATGTGCGCACTCTCCAACGGCCCTCCAACGGTCTGAGGGACAGTGAACTGGCCCCCTGTTTAAACAGTTTGAGGACCCCTATTTAAGAAGGTTGAAGTTCTCTTTTCTTTATTCATATTATAGCCTGAAACACAACACTTTAGCACTAAAATGCAATTCTGCATGAGATTTGGGGGCCTCTTACTGCTCTCTACAGAGTGACATGGGAGTGGCTTAGGGCTCACTGTGGTTTGTGTAGGGCAAGAAAATGAAAGTTATGGTAATAATCATTTCTGACTCGTGGTCCTCCCTCTGTTCTGGGCTCTTCACTTTCGTCTCTAATGTAATCCTCATAAGAACCCTGTGAGGTAGGTGAAGTCATTACCCCCACTACGCAGATGAGGACACTGAGGCACAGGGAGGTTAAATGACATGCCCAGCGTCTGAAGAGTGACAGAGCTGTGCTGGAGCATGGCGGGCTGGCTTGTGCCCCTCTGCCTGACTGCCTTGAGGCCAAAGTGGGAGGGGCCCGGCCCATCACAGGCAGAGGAAGGGGCCCAAGAAGGCCGGCAGACCAGGGTAGGCAGGGAAGGCACAGCCAGGTGGACCCCAGGGGTACACTGCAGTGAGGAGTCTGCATTTATTTTAAGAGCAATGGCCCTATGGGGCCTTAAGCAGGAGTGAAGCACCTGTGTCACCTTTGCAGAGACAGCTCCTGGAGCGGCTGCCGTGTGAGTGTGGACCATGGGGAGGTGAGACCGGGAAGCCAGCTGGAGCCTGGGGCTGGGGCTGCCCTGAGGCCTTCTGCCCATACCCCAGGTCCCTGTGGGGTTCCTACTACAAGAGCCTGAAAATTTCTAGTCTATCAGGTTCTCTCTCTGTTCCTTTTACACGCTCAGAGCTCACCCAGGCAACGGCAGGGGTGGGCTTGGGAATGGCCAGGACGTGGCCAGGAGGAGTCAGTAGACATGGGGACAGAGGTCAAGGGCACTGAGAAGGGAGGGGTCTGGAAGGGTGACCCCAGACCCAAACCCGGAGCAGACGGTGAAGTCTCAGGGGCTCTGCCTCCTGCTGCCCCCCGACCCCTGCCTGCTGCTCGGTCACCCAGGCCATGTCCCTCAGCTGCTGCCCAGCTGGGGCCACCCTGCCCCTCCCCTTCCCTCTTCCCAAAGGCCAAATGTCCCCACCGACACTGTGGGAACACCTCCCCATGTCCCTGTGCCCCTTTCCCAGTGCTAGTTTTCTCCACGGAGGATATAATTCCCTCCAGGATTTGCTTCCTTCATAGTGTGGGTTCTCCCAAGTGAATGTGGGTCTCAACAGGCTCCTCTGCTCTGTGCAGGCTGCGTCCCCACGGCCTGGCCCACAGCGGGGGCTCAAGGAATGGATGACACAGGGACAATCAGCAGCCAGAGAGGGTTAGTGTGGAGGGCACCCCATGGCAAGAACGTACTCTTCCAAAAGGGCTCAGCCACCAGCAGAGACCTAGGGAGGAAGGGGCAAGCTGACCACCCGGTGGATGGCAGTGGTCCTGGCGGGGACAGCAGATGTATTTCTGTTTTGAGGTTGAAATTGAGAGGATGAATAAGGCTGTCATTTGCTCTCCTTGGAGACGCCAGCATGGTGGGACCCCTACCCCAAAGCTGTGATGGAGAAGAGGATGGGCTGCCTTTGTTTGTGAATAGCCAGCCCGGACACAAGTGTTTGTGGCGACCAGCAAGCCCCCGGGCTTGCATCAGAATGGTTTCCCGGGGAACCAGGTGCCACTCTGCAGGGCACTGAGGGGGCCTGGGCACAGGGGAAGGAAGGACAAATCCCAGAAACAAGACATCTGGAAAATGTGGTTGATAAACCAGGCTCTGTTTCCCTACATTACGAGAGTCCTCGGTTGCTTCAAACCAGAACCCGTAATTGCTCCCATTTGAAGGACCTGAGAGATGCAAGAGCAGCAGACAGCAGCCCTCGGCTCCTCTGAGTGGGCAGAGCAGAAACAGGATGAAGCCAGAATTTGCCGCCTTCCCCATCTGGCACCATCAGTTGAACTGAGGTGGCTTCAGAGAGTTCCCCAAGATGTGCACACACAGTGTGAGCGCTTACCTGACCTGGATCTTAAACGTGCCCTGGCTCCCAGGATCAAGTGCTCTCTCATTTCTAAACAGGAAGTGTTAGCAACAGGTAACACAGCGGAGATGCATAAAGACAAGCATAGCATGTGTCTAAGTGGCCTGAGTGTTATGTCGGTCACAGTCCGTGGTGAAGAGTTAAGAACCAAAGCTGAGGCAGCAGCTCTGAGCTGCAGGACACATCTCCCCACAGACTTGGTCTCCTCTGGAACGAAGGTGCCAGAGGCCCCTATGACCTCCAGGGACTCCAGATGGACATATTTGGTTCTGGCAGTAAAACTGGATGTGCTGTTCCTTCCTTCTGCAGTAAACACAGCTCTGGACCTCAGCCAAGAAACTCTCTGTTGTCACCAAATGGGCACCCAGATCCCAACCTCCCCATGCCCACATATGCTCTCATCTCACATCTGAAAAACTGCAACCACCAGCAAGGCCTGCCCGAGGAGACGGTGGCCTCAGAGGCAGATCTCTGCCAGGCCAGGCCCATCCTCGGGACTGCGGGGAATCTCACAAAACAAGTTTCCTTCCAACTTCTTCACATGTGGAAGGGGTCAGCCAGACGGCTGTGGTTGGAACACTCGGGAAGGAAGTGGGCCTGGAAGACTGCGGTCCACACGTTAATCCACAAAAGGGTCGCTGGGAAGAGACGCTGCAGGTCCGACTGGGGTAGGGTTTGCAACCCAACCGCAAAGTGCTTCCTCACTAGCATTCCTGAGAGCGGAGGACATCTGGGGCGCTGACTTCAGAGTCTGGCATGGAACCACTGATCCGCTGTGGGACCTGATGGGGCTGGCCATGGGTTCTAGCCAGGAGAATGAAGCGCACCCCTTCTCCCCTCTGAGGATGAGATGGCAGGTGGATTTAAGAATGGTCTGGAAGCATTTGAAGACGTGATGGGGCATTTTCCACGGGAAGGTCCCTGAGAGGACTGTGTGTAGGGTGAGGCGGCAGGAGCCGGGATGCAGTGGGTGGTTCGGGTCAGAGACGAGCTGTTTCAAGGTCACTGTGGCCGAGGACCACAGCCGCAGGAGGGCGGCGTGTGATAAACGTGGAGAGTGCGGATGTGGAGGAGGAGGAAAGGCCCTGGGCTGAGTGTGGGCGGTGGGGGCCCAGTGAGCTCTGCCCTGTGCGTCATGTGGACCAGCCACCCGGTCCGCCCCTCCACAAGGTGGGCCCGAGGCGGCCGGCAGAGGCTGGGTCTGGGGAGTAGGTGCCCTGGGCACAGGGCGTGGGAGGACAGGGCCTGCTGAGGCCAAAAGGGCCCAGCGGGGGGCTCAAGGCAGGGAAATTAACCCCACCACTGACCTGCGCGGCCTGTCGGAGTATTACTGCACATTCGTGTGTCGCGGTGAGGAAGAAACACAGCTGAGGCCAGAGGGAAAAATGGTCTAGACAGATGTCAGCATGCTGTCATTTCCCGCAGGCCCCAGGTGAGCGGCTGGGTGCAGCCTGTCCCAAGGCCGACTGCGGGTGCAGCTGCCCCCAAGCTGAGAAACGTTCAGTCCCCCCTGGTCTCTGGAAGAGGCTCCCTGAAGCCCCCCTCACTCGCTTCAGATCCAGAACAGCGCTCTGCATTCAGCAAGCACATCACTAAGCCCTGCTAGCAGACCCCGTGGCGGAAGACCCCCTTCCTGAACTGCTGAGTCTCACACAGCTGCTTACAGCCAACACAGAGCTCGCGCCTTCCCTTCTGGGTCACTGTCCTAATTACCGAACAGTCAGCAGAGGGGAACCACCGGTCTGCGTGTGCACTTCCTTGCAGTGCCAAGGATCAGTGCATGCCCTGCCAGGGGCTCGGAGGTCCTGATCAGCACCTGGGCTCTGCAGCCTCGAGGTCTCCAGGGACACTTACAAGGTGCACTGCTCCGCATGTGGGAGGCAGACTCGCTGTGGGCAGGGATCCCCGGCTGAGTCAGGTCGGGTCAGATCGAACCTCATAAACTACGGCCTGAAGCTCCATTTCCCCTGGGCCTGGGCCCTGCCTGTGGCCGAACCTCTCAGGTTGCAGTCAGGGCTGTCACTGTCCCCACAGAAGCTTCTGCGATTAAGAAATCAAGAAGCTGTGGGTGAGGATTGAGAACTTACTAAGTCCTGCCAAGGGCATCCAAGAACATGTTGAAAGCTCCGAGCTAAGACTATTCAGAAATGGTCTTCGGACCATTCCCCATACTTGGATTAGTTCTGTAAAACACTGGCCCACAACCCCACTGCCCTCCTGCCTGGGCCACGCACTGTGCCAGGACAGAGAAGAGAAACAACTGTGTGCTCTTGGTCTGGGTCAGAAGGGCTAACACAGTTAGGGAAGCAAAACAGTAACAGCAGCAAGACACTCAGCAACAGTGGAACGTAAGACACTACGTTACAAGATGTTACGCTCATAAGTAGTTCAAGAAGAGTTAAAGAGGAGAGAAATCAGGGCAAGGTGGTAGCTATATGTACCTACCTATTTTTGTTTTTTTTTTTAAAAAACTAACCCAGGTTAACACACGTGCATGCGTGGATCACGCCTTGGGGATCCGATCCCAGCAGGAAGATGCACAGACCTGGACATGCCTTCGCTCATTTCTTAATCCTTACGGAAGGGTGAGGGGAACAGTGGGTTGTTGATGAAGGCAGAACATGGTGCTTGTTTTCCTGGAAAGGTCTAAGAATTTGCCTCCCAGGCCCATTTGCTCAGATGCAGACAAGAGGGCAAACACCAGGAGACGCCCAATGGGCACCTGCCCAGTCCTCATCCGCAGGTCCCTGCCTCTGGCCTTCCTCACCCAGGGTTCTGCACCCCTCAGGAGTGCTCTAAGTTTTCACAGAGGCACAGTCCACACGGGGACACAGAGACGCAAGCAGGATTAGTACCATGCCGAGGGGTGGAGCGTCACAGGCTGCCCA